AAACAGAAGGCCCACATTTTGGATTGGAAATGTTACTATCTAGTATTATCACTCCCATCTGGACAGAGGTAACATGGAGGTTGGCAGATAGTCCCTACTAAAACCAAACTGATCAAAATACAACACAATCCCAGTCGCTAGATACTGATTTCTCATATACTATTCATTTAAAGCAAGGAGCCCAGGTGGTGTTGGTGGGTAAGCACTGGACTAACAAGGTCGGTGGTTCAGCCTCACCAGCTATGACGTGGAGGAAAGATAGGCTGGCTATCCAGGTCCCATAAAGATTTACAGTTGCAGAAGCCCCACACAGGAATGCTAACATGGATTTGGTCTTGTTGTTTTTCATTTAAAGCACTTGAGAAACAGGAAACAATGATGGCATGGTGGGTTATGCACTGAACTGTGAACCACTAGTTCAAACACACCAGCTGCTTGGCAAGAGAAAGATGAGGTTGTCTGCTCCTATAAAAATTTAAAGCTTCATAAAAACAAAGAGGCAGTTCCATCCTGTCCTATAAGCTCAGACAGTCCAGGTCTGGTTTTTTTGGTTTGAGGATACGTTTAAAGCAATGCTAACATACAGAAAGTTGGGGTAGTGTGATGGGTTAGGCCTTTGGGCTAACTACAAGGCCATCAATTTGAATCAGTGGGAGAAAGAGGTTTCCACCTCCTATAAAGACTGATAGCTGAGAAGCCCACAGGGGCAGTTCTACCCTGTCCTATAAGGTCACTATGAGTCAGCATAAACTCACTGCACTGAGTTTGGCTGTTGAGTTTGTTCATTTTTCTTTTAGGAGGTGCTTTTACATTTCTTACTTTTACTTCTGAGCACTTTTTTCTCCATTTCACTCGTGCATATAATCCATTGTATCTGGTAGCTTTTATTCATTTTAAAATTCTGCACCACGTTCCAACAAATTTTCCAGAATCTGTTCAAACACTGCTTACTTGTTCCCTTATAACTTTTTTTGGTCAATCACTTCACAATTTGCGTATTCTGTTCCTTTGTCTTTTAAAAAAATTATTTTCAATCAGTGATATCTAATTATTCTGCATAAATAAATGCTCATTCAAATTTATGAAGAAAGCTATTTGAGTACTGTACTTGGGGTGAGAGGCTCAATACCACCAATGATTACTGCAATATAAAATCAATGAAAAACTATTAAAATAGCTAATTGCTATCACCTTAAAAAAAGCAGTTTTAGAAGTCAAGAAAGTTATCAGAACATACTAGGAATGTATTGTCATAAGGTTTTTAAGAGCCCCCAATAAAATGATTTAAATAAAAAGAATGTACTAGGGTGCTCCATGAGTGGTCAAAAAATTATGTTTTCAAGGGGGGGAAAAACCCCAATTTTAGTAGCTATTAAAACACTGCCAAACAACAGGCATAATTAGCTGAAAATATTAAAATGGAAAAAGGACCTGAAAATAATGAGTAAATATTGAACAAAATATTGACAAAACATGAAAAAATAACTTTCCATCACTTCCCAAAGAGCTTTCAAAAAACAGGTAGAAAAAGTTAAAAATTAACTACTGGAAAAAAAAATTAACCACTGAACTATTTTGTCAGTCAGATCAGGTTTTAAAAAAGACACTGTATATAATCATATATAAGCTGAGTTTTTCAAAAAATTTTAAATTCAGTTTTGTGGTAAAATTAGGTGCCTCAGCTGATATTCGGGTCAGCTTATACTTGAGCATATGCAGTAATGAAACTAGGATTCCTTGTTTTCTTGCAAATGCTACTGCAGGATGTGATGTACAAACAGTTAAGCACTCAACAGCTAAGTGTAAGATTGGCGGCTTGAACCCACCAAGCAACTTCAGCTTTACAGGTCAACTGCCCCCAAGAAAACCCTATGGGCCAGTTCTAGTCTGTCACATTGAATCACTATGAGTCAGAACCCAACAACAAAGACCAGACAAAGACCAATGACGACAATGATGACAAACAACAATATTCATTCACTAACTGTATAATCTTTGGCAAATTCATTTTGCCAAAGCTATAATTTTCTTAACTCTACAATGGGATTAATAATGGTACCCTACCTCACAAAACTATTGTACAGCTTGAAGCTTGAGTACATTTGTGGGTTATGTTTGTGTGTGTATATATACTCATATTCATACATACACATACATCAAACTAAAGTCACTGTCATTGAGTTGATTCTGACTCACCATGACCCCATGGAAACTTTACAAGACTGTAAATCTGTATGGAAGGGGAAAGCATCACCTCCCAATTGTGGGACTGATGGGTTTGAACCACTAACTTTTCAGGTGACAGACAGCCCAATGCATAAACCACAGCACCATCAGGGTTCTATACATAAAAACAGGCTTTAGAAAGTTAATAGAAAAAAATTTTTTTTAAATCCATGAACTTTTAATTATTTTTTCTTTAAATTTTTAGAAGTCCCCTCATACATACATATATATACAAAAGCACTTAGTGAGTGCCATACATGTTTACTGTTTTTATTATGTTATTGCTGCTACTGTCATTATCTATCCCACTAATCAGAGTTATAAACTGGAGTCTAGTTTATATCTATCCAACTACTTTATTTAAAAAGTTCTAATCTAGTAATTAATGTTTCTTTAATAATTGACTAAAAGATGTTCTTTATTTAGTAACAAGAAATGGTAGTCCTAAAAAAATATATCAAAATACTTGTACTAACTGTAAGATAAGACAATATCTACTGTACTTTTTCCTGGCTGTCATAAACATTGTGGACTATATTGAAAACTACAAATTTAAATTAGACGCTAGTGAAAATAATACATAACTCCTTCCCCCACACTCCAACTCTACCAAGTTCCTAGATTTTCTGAATTCTACACAGGGACCCAGAGTAAGAACCCTTGGCGCTTAGGAGAAAGTGTAAGAGTAAGTTTTGGGGGAAAAAATAATAAGTTTTGGTGCCAAAGGCTTGTGCTCTAGAAGGCAGATTTCAGACTTTAGTCTCCATTCTATTTATACCGGAATGACCTTAGAACAAATACTGTATAGCATAAGTTAACAAAATGTCAAATAAGTAATGTATATTCAGTTTCAAATCCTAAATGGCATTGCTAGTCTTTCAGTAAAACTCAGGACATGAGAAAAATAAATAGAAAATAATAGTAATCCATCTTTAACACCAAAATCTTGATTCACAAATAAAATAATGAAGATAATCAATTTGCATAATAGTTGAATTCGCCTTAACTGAGAAGTAAGACAGGTCTAACTTTCTTAAAAAACAAAAACCTAACTATGGCCTGATATTAGAATGACCTGGGTCAGTCTCCCAGTTCAACTAGTTTATTAGCTCTTTGAATTTTGGAAAAGTTACTTACTCTTTCATTTTTAGTTTTCTCATTTGCAAAATGCTACAAAAGTTGCTTTAGGGGCAGGAGATCGATAAATTGGGGTACATTTAAAGACCACATTTTTACAAAGCCAAAGGAATAGTTTGGAACTCAAACGTTTACTTTGGAATTTATGTCTATATAATCAAACTTCAAAATCTGTTTTGCCCAGCAAAATACATAAGCACTTAAAACCGGCAGCATTTGCAAGGCATAACATTCCTACAACAAATGGACATTGCTTAAAATCCTATCTGATTTTATTCCGCCGAAGGAAAACAATGAGGACTTTTTTTGAAGGTAAACAGAAGGGGATCGGTCATCTAAAATCCTTTCATGATTTGACTGGAAAGCTCAAATGCTTATCATGAAAGCCAGCCATACGCTGTTGTCTTTTCTAAACAATCTAAAAATCTCAAATTTGTCAACTATATATTTTTGATTCGATTTTTCTTCTCAAAAATTAAAACCATTAATTTATTTTATGGCAGAGTTAAGCCTCACCCTCCGCCTGCCTACAGCCACTCTCCCACCCACCCCAAAAAAAACCCACCACAGAGCAGCCCCTGCTCACTCTATCCATCATACAACCAGCAAATCCCTTTCTTTAATGAAAAGATTATTTTTATGGGCATAGTTAACAAGTGCCAAGTTATGAAGTTGCTGCTTTGCTAGTTTGACGTTTTTCACAGTGCAAGAACAATATGATCTGGAATCTACTGAAAGCATTAGCCAGGGGGTCAGCTGATGCACACTGCACATGAGAACGGCAGAATTAAGAGAAATTAAATCCCTGTTTGAGTACAGCAGGTACCTGCTATCTTCAAAACTAAAACAGGCCAACACCATTCGTTCCACTTAAAGCAAAGGAAGTATTTCGACCGTTCAAATGACACTAAAAAATGGTTTTCCCCACACGGCGTTTCTCTCATGCCTGGAATTTTCCTGTAAAGGGGTTTTATCTGTACACAAAACCAACCCTTCCTCACGCAGACGCTGCCTGAACAACTTTTCCAAAAGGTCAAAGCGGTGCCTTTCAAGGCTCCAAACCCTGTCGGCTTCTCCCGCAGTAACAGTAACGCGCTCCCTACTCAGACACCGATCCAGAGTCGGGGACCCGACGAAATCTAGTGGAAGTGGCTACAAAAGAAGCTTCCCATTTTCTTTCCCAAATACTTGTACTGAATTTCACGGTCTTCCCTCCGCGGCCCCACATGTTGCTCGCCTCCCTCCCGGAGGGCTCCGTGCGGCCCGGCTTCACCCCCGGGGCCTCGCCCACCCGACCCGCGCTCCGCGGCCGCCCCTGCCCCTCACCGCCCCCCTCACCTCTGCCAGCGGGCCTCCCGTCGGACATCCATATGGGACCCTGTCGCCTCCCTGTCTGCCTCGCCACGCCAGCCAGGCTCTGCACCCCGCGCCCCGACTGCCCTCAACTCTCCCAGGTTCACAAAGTGCGGCGAGGTCGCGCAGCGCAGCTGCAGGCCCGCCTGGCCCAGGTGCTGTGTCAGTCTGTCTCTCGCTGCCGCCGCATGGATGGCCTGGAAAGTCACATGGCGGGGGGACCGGCCGGCGCCTCCACACGCCCGCCTCCCTCGGGGCAGCACGCGATGACTACGTCTACTCACCTCCACGAAGAGCAACATGACTTCCTCCGTCCCGCTCAAGCCTTCCCGCCGCCGCGACTCCGACTGGCTCACAGGCCCGAGCCCCAAGCGCTAGGATGAGGACACTCGCCTGGCTCCTCCACCCGGCAAAAGACGCGGCTCCTCCTCCGCCGTCAGCCGACGCGGCCTGACTCGCTCCGTCCCACCGCTCTGGGAAGCAGAAACTACTTCCGGCGCTGCGAGAACTACTTCCGGGGTCAGAGACGCCCTCCAAGCGCTCAGCTTGCAGACAGTTCCCCTGCGGGCTGTACCACTCCTGTCCTGCGGGGGGAGGCGAGGGGCGGGATGCGGCAGGACCGCACCATTCTGCGTCCCCAGGAGGGGCGCCAGGCCGGTGGGCGCGGGGTAATCCTTCGCGAACGGACACCTCCCACAGAGCCCCAATAGCACAGTTTTCACAGTTCACAGTCTACTTCTGCTAAATAGCCGAGCTTGTGCGACGTGTACTGAACAAACGCCCAACTCTGCACAAAACGTGGTAGCTTGCGGGGAGGGCGGGGAAAAGCAGGAGAAAGTATCTAGCACAAGCAGAATACTGGTGTATTAATTGCAGCCGCTGTGTATTGCAAATTTGCTTTCACTGTGGTACGCATGTCACGTGGGCTAATCGCAAAACAATCCTTGATAACATTACCCCATTTACAGTTGAGGGCGCCCTCTTTGACCCATATTTGCTGGAATCAGATACCCACATCTCCGCCTAATAATAACGTGTTACTTAGTAATACCTACTTTACCAGCCTCTGCCTTCCTGTTCTTTCATCAATTCAAATCAAACACAAGAAGAACGAAAACATTTTCATTCTCTTTACAGTGTTCTCTCAGTTGGTTCAAGCACCTTATTGTGTTCATCAATACTTTCCAGGAATATCTCTTAGAACCTCAACTTGATTATTTCCAGCAGGTGTCTCCCCTCCCCCCACATTGTATTCGTTCAAAAGTCTTCCTAAAGTAAAGATCTCATTTTCACTAAACGGCAGTTATTTTCATTCAAGACCCTCTTCTTTTTTTTTTTTAATTATTTTACTGGGGGCTCATACAGCTCGTTTCAAAATACATCCATCATCCATTGTGTCAAGCACATTTGTACATTAGTTGCCATCATCATTTTCAAAACATTTTCCTTCTACTTGAGTCCCTGGTATCAGCTCATTTTTTCCCCTCCCTTCCCCACCCTCCCTCACTCAAGAACCCTCATTCAAGACATTCTTATTCTGATCCTACATAATCTCTTCACCTTCTGATTTAAATAACAAATCCATCCTATCTTCCAAATGCTGGTGTATAAACCAAACTAAACACCTCTGCCATTATTTCCTCTCCATTAAACCCATCTCCTCCCTTTTACGATGAGATACAAACGAATTAACGCTCACCTCTAAAGCCATAGCTGAAGGCGTCTCTTTCTGATCTGGAATGCCTTCATTTGCCAGTCAGCCTTCTCTCTCCATAAGACTTTCTCAGAAGCTCCACTTTCCACTGATCCCTTCTTCATGTCCCTTGTTAGCCCTTGATAATTATATTGTATCTTAATTTTTTTTCTTCACAGGAATCCCATCATGCGTTCTTTATCATTTAGGATCATTGTAGCCACACAGCAATGTCTCAACATATGCTTGTCGAATTGAAAGGGAAGGAGAGGGATTTTAAAGTTTACTTTCAAAAGTCTTCATTTCAGTTGCTGATGAATTCTGTGCTGTATGCAAAATAGAGAGACAAAGGGAGCAATAATACTCAGCTTAGTCATCAAGCATTTAAAACAGGCTATTTTGTGAATTCCTGCTGGGGTAAGCAGTTTAAAGAAATCAAGAGAAATAAGAGTTATTTAAAAATCTCACACTTTAATATTATTTACCAACAGTATTGTAATAGTCTAGAAATATTGGATAGTGATGAATATTTTAGGTAAACCTCATACTTACAAAAAGATAAATAATTCTCTTTCATCATGGCCCTTCGAGAACCCATTATGAATGTCCTGGAGTAAATAGACTTAACTATGGTTTATAGGAAAGGAGGGATAATACTTTTTGACGAGGGCAGTATTTAATAAGGAAGATCTTCCAAAGCTTTGAAAAATTTCCTTAAGAAAAAGAGTCTGAGACTACACTGGACCACAAGTTTTAGATCATTTCTAAGGAATATCTGAAAAATAACATAGGAGGCATTAGAAAAAGGGGAAAGTACAATATCTAGTCTTGAGAGGTTCAACAACTAGTAAGTAGGTAGACACCATTAAGAAATAGATACATGAAAAAAAAAAGAAATAGATACAGTATATGTCAATGAGATACATACCATAATAGAAATTCCATGAAATGCCTTAGGAATACAGAACAGGAATTTAGACAATGGAAGGGAAAATATGGAATTTGTTCTCTTTATATTGCTATTTCTAAAAGATATCTGCTTGGTGGTTCCCTGCCTTCTTTTCTCTGGAAGATTGAAGCACAAAAATTAGCATCAGTTTATAAGGATTCAATATGGGAAATTCTTGTAGAGAAATGAAGCTACTGACAATCTGTATAAAATGTAAAACCTATAAAATATTGTATAATGTTTATGAGCAGATACACCTATAATACATATGGATTATATATAAATACATCAAATTCACGATTGTTACTGTCTCTGGACAGGGAGAAGGAAAGGCCCCAGAGGAAGAGAACAGAGGAGACTTCAGCTCTGTCTCTAACATATGCTTCTAATAAATGTTAGAATCGGTTCTTTCTATGTGATGGGCACATGACTATTTGTATTATAATTTTCTATGCTTTTAACAGAATTTTTTTAATTAAAAAAAAGTATACTACCTACATAGCCAACAAAACCACCCTTTTTTTCTTTCAATTGCTTCAATCTACTAAACCCTTTCACCTCCACTGCAAAGGAGCTGCCCCAAACACTCTTCCTCCTTCAGTTCAAATGGAGCCTCCTCTACCGTTTGCTTCAATTTCTTGAACCAACTATGGAACGTCAAGCCTTCTTCAGTTAGGTTCGTTGAAGAAAAAAACCAACAAGTAACTGAGCAATGCAAAGAGTGTGGTCTTCAAATAGTATCTTCCAAATTACTGCCTGTCTTGGAAATGTTAAGGAACAGCTGAAGAGACTGTAATCATTATTTCCCTAGAGGCATCAAACTACTTAGGCAAAATCTCAGGAAGAGAGAAGGGCCAGGAGTTATGTTTTGCTACACTGGATCTTGAATTCTATGACTTAGATTTAAAACTTATTGGTAATTTTAAAACTAATTATCTTCTATGTCTTTTAGCTTTCCTGTTACCTATTATGCCCTCCCTCCCTCCCCACTTCCCCCTTCTACCCTCGCAGCACAAAGAAGGCCTAGTTCTCTGCAGAGTAAGCACTCTTCAAATGTTCGGGTCAAGGGTAACGTCACAATCAATCGATTATGACATCATCAGCTCTAGAATACCGTGGGTAGCGAGTTTAATAGTAAGGTAAACCACATCTCTGGGAACAGGGAAGACTTCTTCTAGCTTCCTAGTGGATACCGTTATTTTCATTTGTCTATATTCTGCAAAAAAGAAGAAATAAACGAAAACCACCCAACTGTTCAAAATGTTGATCAAGGAGCATGAGACAGACAGTGAATCTGATTCAGAAAAGGGACTCTTTAACATCATCTCAGGAGAATCCCCAAAAGTCTTTAATACTCCAGCAACCCCCAGGCTTGAAATCCCGTTCTCAACGCAGAAAGTCATCTCCAAAATTAATCAAGCACAGCTTTCTCGAGCCAGAAAGGTAGGTAGTGGATAAGAAGTTTATTGTTTGCAACTTTTTCTCCTCATAACTAGCAATCTTTTTTATTAGAACTAGCTGTACTTTCATGAAACTTGGCTGTATTTGGGATAACTTTGACTTCAAATGATAATTTCATCTGAAAACGTAGCCAATGTCACTCAAGTTTCAAATAGTGTATGCTAAAATTTGATATTAATCTCTCTCACTTGACTATCAGAAGTAATCATTCAAGCCATTTAAAAAATAAACCACATATGGGATAGAAAGAAAAGTTCTAATCCACAGCTAACAGCAATATCTAATATTAGCCAAGAGTTTCCAATTATTCCCTACTGAGCTTTTATCAAACAACTATGTGTTTTTTTTAATAGTTCTATTGGGACATAATCCATACATAATACAATTCAGTAGTTCAATCATATCAAGAAGAGTTATACAATCATCACCACAATCAATTTTAGAACATTTTCTTCTTTCTTGTACTTCTTGTTATTAGTTGCCTATTTTCCCCCAACCTCCCCTGCCATACTCCCAAGAAACTATTATCAAAAGCTACTCTCTCTCTACATTCACCCATCCTGGATTTCGTATACCGAAAAATATCCAAAACCAAAAAATAGCAAAAGAGCCAACAAGAATAACAAAATAAAGTAGAGAAAAACTTTCATAAAAAAGAAAGCAGATTACACAATTGATGTGTGTATGGATTGGGATAACAGTTGTATGAGCCCCTAATAAAATGTTAAAAAAGAAAAAAAAAAGAAAGCAGAAAATATTAAAAACTAGAACAACTTTAAAATGGATCAAAAGGGAGATCAAATGTTAAAGTGTTAAATTTTAACCTAACTACATGTGATGTTTGCCGCTTCTAAGGGACTGCATGACAGAAGCCTATTCAGTCCCCGGTCTATGTTCCGAGGGAGTTCACCAGAGGCTTAATCCACATGTATTTCCCCTTTTCTTTTCTTTTTTAACTGATAAAACTGTTAAATGGATCAACAAAGGGACAGCTATGTTTTTTAAAAATATATGAAAAAATATATCTATGGAGTACCTCAAATTCTAGTTCTTTTTATTTCTCCTGGACATTTCATTAGAGAGGCATTTATTGACATCACCAGGACTAGACTACCATGGGTAAAAACAACAATAAACAAAGGCCTCAACTAACACAGCAATCTATAAATAGACCCCAAACCATTGAGGCAATACCACATTCTCTTCTCTCAGCAGTCAGGAAACCAGTAAGAGCAATTAAGGCGAATTACTTTCCTATGCTTTCGGAGTTGAAATAGACTGATATTACCTCACTCTCCC